ACTTTTTGTTAAGCAGTTTAAGAACTCAGGGTTGCTTTAATATGAAATGAAAGAGAAGCCTTAAATATGTTTGTATTTCTTCGCCTTCAAGAAGACCCTATGTATTCATGCTAATCTTTAATGTAGAAAAGGGTAGGTTCTAATTTTGATATTATTTATTAATCAAGCAAATATAATCCGCATAAGATAATAGAATGAACTGAAAATTCCGGTTTCAGGTTGAATACTTTGAATGGACTAATTAGCTTGTTTTTATGCATCTATCAGTCATGAAGTCTGTCGTGTTTGCAAGAAACTGTCATTGTAAACACACACCTACATTTTTCTTCCTTCCTGCAAAGCATTAATTGTATTGGAAAATACAACCAGTAACCTTAACTAACCTAGACCCTCCAGGATGCTTCTAAAAGTAGATTTAAGACAGAATGATGCATTTCTGTTCCTTGAATGTCAGCTTCGTGGGAGAGTGCATCTGGGGGGGGGGAGGGGGGCCATGGTACTATTACAGTGGTTTGCCTAATCCCATGTGTACACTTGTGTTTAATTGCATGATATCATTACCAGATTCAAGTGTGTTTGCGTGTGCATATATGGAAATGGTGGAAAGGCAAGTGGAATATACAGTCGCGCCGTCTTTTCTGTGGCATTTTGCATTTGGCAGCTGAGCAGTGTTGAGCCTCGGTACTTAAACTTTGAATAATATATAAACAGAAGTATTTGCAGAGGAGTGTGTACGTACACGTTGGTGTCACTGCTAGAAAGACACTGTTGATGGAGGTCAGGGGGTGTCATTGTGAGTGTGCATGTGAGATTGGTCGGAGAGATCAAAGTAAAGAGTTCAAGATGTGGATCGTTTGGATTTCAAAGGGATTGCATGAGCGTCTTTGGTGTCCAGCATGCTCATACATGACTTTATGCCTCTGGCATGATATACATTACGGCACGGGCATGAGTCACAATGGGTTTGGGTGTCTGCATTTTAGCATGTGTTTGCATACGTGTGTCTTTGACTGTGTGCATTCCAGCTCGAAGTTCAGTAGTCTGTGTGGTGCCCTGCAGTGCCCCTTGCTAATCCATTCCCAAAATGGCTGTTGCCAGGCAGAGAAATTACCCAGCAGGGTACTAATGGGACTAAATAGAAAACTCAGCTCTGTAGGTTTTATTGAACTCATAGCTTATATGTCAGGTGTAATTTTATTTTCTTAATATGCCCAATTAGCTGTTGAAACCATTATAAGCACCACACAGTTGATTCCTGTCCTCGGTTTAAGGTGTATGGATGTCAGCAAGGCTCAAACAAACATGCTCATAGGAACATAGAACAACTGCACCGTCACATCGGTGATGCCATTTTGCCCCGGTTGAACTCAAAGGTGAAAAGGAAATCATCTATCTAAGAGAAAGGTATGAAGGAAATGTCAGCTGTCAGGAGCTAACCTTGGTCGCAGTACTGATAGAAGGTAGGTTGACACCATACAGTAAGTGGCAGCAACAAATGACTTTGAGTCCACGCTTTCCAAATGTCCAGGAATGGAGAAACAACATCATGTAAGATTTTACAACTCAACTTAAATTGTATAGCTTAAAGGATACAGCATAAATCCAGTATATACTTCCTATGCAGCACAGTTTTACTCTAGCTGAGCACTTAAAGCACGATAGATTTGTCCAGAATGGTCCAAAATACAGATCATATACCAAACTGTAGGCAGTTACTTTAAAGACAATCAGCCAAACTGATAATATGTTACGTACATGGGAGCTGAGTGGGTGCAGCCGCTTCTGGCATTCACAATTCCCCTAAACTGAGCTTAAGTCATTAGCATTTCTTGCACATGCACAGTGTAACATGAGATACAATGCTATATTAGTAGCAACTAACTGGCTGAATGACAAACTCAGCAGTGTTCTATAATATGAAGAAAAATGTGCCTGTGTATGTTGAATATATGGTGACCTGTAGTTTTGGAGTTTAGCCTAAAAAAAGGAGGAGGTGGGTTTCCTTTTAACTGGAAATTCAGCCTCTTTCCCCATGTGTTTGCCTGAAGTTTGATAATGACTTTGTTTATTTGTGTGTGTGTGTGTGTGTGTGTGTGTGTGTGTGTGTGTGTGTGTGTGTGTGTGTGTG